CGTAGAGCGAACCATGTTGGCAATTTTCTGGACAGTGATGGCCAAGCGCTCACCACGCTGAAGTTTAGATAGTTCTTCTCGATATGCTGGGGAAGTACGATAGCGACAGCACATGTAAAGAGTATAAGTCGGGGCCAGTTTAAAGTGAACTCTATCACCATTGACTTCGCTGCTAACTGCAGCAAAGAAAGCATCTTCTCCTGATTCTCGAAACTCCAACCATGCTGGAAGCTTGTCACCCATTTCATCATCTAGTGTGTCGTCAGCTGAGGTATGAATAATCTGAGGGGGTTGGTCGTGTCGCACTTGTGTCTGTAATACAACAAGTCCAAATCAATCAAAGAATAAACAAACGAGGCAAAGAAAACATTTTGAGCTGGTATAGACAAGGTGTAATCATGATGTACAAGCCTGAAACTTATTCTCAGTATCCCCTATAAAACCCCTTACTAGCATGAACATTCAAACTAATACGATAATTTCATCTCCTACCAACAATTCGTCTTTATTTGTACTTTCCTCCAAAAAAACTCGACTAGCCCATCCAGGTCTATGCGGCCAACAGGGTTTTTGTGGTTTTGGTATCTCTATAACATCTAAAAATGTATTCAAACCAAAAATAAATAATTCTGGTGCTTTTTTGTCACGAAATCAAACTTTAAATTTCCTGCTTCAACTACACCCAATGAAGTTGACCGCGTAATGAAAGATTGGTGAGGAATGACATCACTTCAGGAACATCTCAAAGCTTCATGTTTCTATTTTGCTTGATTGACCACCACATTGTTTCACCAACTTTGGTTTGTTTGCTTTTTGTCGAAGAAAACTCTTAACCACTACTGAAACAACAGTTACCTGAACTAGCAGGATTTGGTAATTCCTGACTTGACGTCACGACCCATTCAGAAACCTAGACTCTCTTTTTGCACTGACTCACGGTCAACTTCATTGGGCATGGCTGAAGCGGGAACTTTAAAGTTAGATCTTCGGGCACAAAAATGTTGGAATCCGATTTTGATCCTTAGAATACCTTTTTACACATTATAGAGATACCAAAACAGCAAAAAGTCCTGTTGGCCATATAGACACTTTAAGGACAGAATCCATTGACTCAACTGCAAAATCTGCAAGCCCTAGGCTGTCACACACAACTTTCTTAAATGCACCCTGAACAGGTAAATCAGAATCAATTTTCAACTTGTATTTACTCACTGGTTTTTCATTTGTGTAAGTCTCAATTTCACCATCAACACCAAAGGTTGTCTCGTACATGCCAGAGTGATCGTGATTGTTGGTCATCTCCACACTGTTCTGCTGTTCATACTCTCTATTTCTCCCTGCTGACTCAGGCCTGGACAACAAAACAGAGTGCCAAAGTTAAACTTGAAGACAAATGATTTTGCTTCCAGGATACTCAATTCCCAATTCCCTCTACAAGACGTCCCTCAAGGTAGTTGTAATCATCATGTTGGACTAGATATTTGTCTTGATGAATACAACTACCATGATTTCCTGTGGGCATGTCTCGTACGGGTAATTGGGAATTGCAACTTGAGCCCACACTTACAACCGAAATGGCTGACTACTAGTGCGCTGTAGACACTAGACCACGTGACAGGCGCTCAACTCTTGTAGACAAATAAACAGATAAATAAATCAGATCGTGGCATAATGTAGCTAAACACTTCGTGTAAGCCACACAAAAACCAGTAAGTAGGGAGGGAGGCGAGAGAGTAAAAGGCAAGCTACAAACAGAATCAAAGCTTGAAGCAATTGTATTTTCACACACAGCTGGAATGAAAAGTTCTGTATCAGACAAGAAGAAGCAGGATGGTCCCAAAATGCTGTTGCCAGCATTGGCTCAAGTTAAAGTTAACCTAACATACATGCATGCATATACAGCTGAACCTATATATAACGACCACCCACTGGACTTGAGGAGCTGGCTGCTCAATACAGAATCACTAAAAAACACTCTGGGTGAGGACTAATGTTAATTTTAATGGTGTATCATACAAAAACACTTCATGCAAGGAAACAAGAAGACAATCAACCCTCCTTGAAGGGATCAATACTTTCAACAAATTTCAGTCCCAACTTGTGACTTAATGGTTTACTATATGTAACTTTGTGCAAAAGTACTGTGCAATAAATTGTCCTCTACTCTTCTACGGTATGCAGTACTGTAATTCTATGACTTACAGTTCACAACAAAACATCTCATTCCATCATTTCATAGTTGTTACATTCAGGGTGGCTGCTTAATAGAGGTAAAAATAACGAAGAAAGACTAACATAGGATTGCTACAGGCCATGGCAGCTTAATAGAGGTGGCCGTGTAATACAGGTAACAAATACAGCGTTTGTATGAGCAAGAAATTTGGACTTTGAAAACTGGCCGCTTAATAGAGGGTGGCTGCTCAATACAGTGCAGCTGTATACAGGTTCAACTGTATAGACACTGCATGTATTTTTAATTTATTTATTAATTGGTAATTAAGTTGATTTTACAGTTCAAATAAACCTTGATGTTGTTAGTTAGTTAGAGAGTAGCCTGCGAACAGACTCCCGACAAGGACAGAAAAAAAATTCGGCAAGCGCGAAACAGAAGATTTCAGAGAGCAAAGCGATCAGGGCGGGGACAGGGGAGCCTGTAGACTCTGTTTTTGATGTGCCTATCCGCCCTTGGTGATTAGCCTGTAACAACTCAGTCAATGAGGTAATTAGACCTGTCAAGAAGCTATATTTTTGGTAATTGCAAACAGTTCTAATAACATAGAACGCAAGTAAGCAACATATTCACAGAATATTTCAAACTGAACTTTGTCCCTCCAGAGCCAGTACTTAGAGAGCTTAAAACATATTTTGAAATACTGAAATGAGCCTAAAGTAATTATAAGCACATGACAGAGGTGTCAAACTCTGCCAAGCGACAAGCAGATAACAGCGGAAAGTCCAGAAACCATGCCTTTGACCTCAAAAAAAAAAATTGCCTTAGCACCGGCAAACAGCTCCACTCCACTAGCTTCTACTTAAAATTCCTGCTCATAACAGAGCATAAAGCACCCTTCAGAATCACTTGTGACATAACGAGAAGACTAGAGACCGAGGCTTTAAAGAGAACGGCAAATGCACTACTGTAACAAACTGTTAGAGTTGTATAATTTTACAAAGATCTGTCAAATATTTATCTCAAAGATGTCAACAATCAGCGATTTACTCACAAAGCCCTTCACAACCCATATTGGCCAAGTTATCTGAAACTTAATGTATTTCAACACGAAAGATGCTTAAGATCTAGTAACAGCATTCAGTTA